AAATTTCTCTTTTAAGGGTTTTGCCCAGCAGTCTTATCAGAAACAACATTCCTAGATCTTGACATTGTTAGAAACCTGAAGCTTTTCTACACTGTGCTCGTGATACTGATTTAATCGTTTCTGTCATCCTGTACAACCACAAATTTGTACTCTAATCTTTGAGTCTCTGGTTCAGGCTCAAAGTAAATTGTCCAACTTTATCTCAATGTGTCACAGAGAAGCAATACCTTTCTTTACCTTTGTCTTGGTCTCTTTTCTCCACAGCCTGGTACATCTTACACATATTCCACTCTGCCCTCAAAAGAGCAGTTTAGGGTTATCTGTTGACTCACTATCCCCTTGCTATCCCAGTGTGACCTTGAATTGGATTTGGCATTTACAGAACAAACTCCTCAAAGTATTTTACATACATTTGTTCCCTATGTTTCAAGTGTCACCTTCTGTTTTCTTCTCCTTTTTATTGCAATGACACAAACAATTTTGGCTGGGTTTTGTTGTTGTTGTTGTTGTTGTTGTTGTTGTTGTTGTTGGGTGGGTTTTTGAGGGGATTGGTAGCATAATTTTGCTTGAGTTTTGGGTTTTGTTTTTTTCAAAATACCATATTGTCTCCTAAAACTTCATTGCTTCCAACTGCTTATTCCCCACTGACTAAAGTTATTATCACTTGTTTATGACAATTTCCACAGCAACCAATATAATCTCAGAGTGCTGTGACTTCAAGTGGAAAATAAGCACCATAAATTCATGCAAATGTCACCTGTTACAAACAAAAACAAGAGACAAGGAAACAGAAACTCACATGTGAAACAGGAGTGTCAACATAGAAAGCACATCAAAGTTTTCAGGAAATAGTATTGCATTCTTTCTACAATAAAGACGTCAGTTCAGCACCGAAAGCTTCCAGCTGAGCACAATGCTCTCAACACCCATAAGTCAGATTGCATAGCAGATGCTAAATGTAAAATCCATTAAGACCAATTAGATTCCACAGAAGAAAAAAAATAGTAATAGCACGCACAGGCAATCTTGCGCTACACAACAGTACCAAGAGATACAGTGAACCACAGAAAAACAAACAAAAAACCCAAACAAAAATTTAAAAACAACAAACAAACAAACAAAAAAACCACAAACAAACAATGTACTTCTCTCACAAAGAGGCCAGCTAACAGAAGGTATGTTACAGTGCCCGCAGTCACATGAAGAAGCAAGGTCTCCTGTCTCTAGTTAGAAGCAACTTCTCTGAAGGCCATCACCTATTGCACACCAACAGACAATTAATCCATTGTCCTCCATGGCAGTTTGAAACTAAGCAGCAAGAGTTTTAGCCTCTTTCCCAAACTGCATATGAATTTCACGTTACATTAACCTGACCCAAGTCATCCTCATGTGTGATGATGTGAGAGCATTAATAACATGGAACCAGGATATTGGGGGGTAAAAACAAACAAACAAAAAAAGGAAAAGTTTGTGGTACACTCCGATAGAGCCTTTTTACTACCATGTAAAAGTTTATTCCTTTTATTGACCATTAGGAGATGGGAATTGTAATGGGCACATGGAACAGATATGTGAGCACTTTTCAGAACTAAGCCACCAATACAAGATGCAGGGTAAATTCTGGCCATGTGCTTAACTGTGTAGACAAATGAAGATGTCATTGCATGCACGATAGCTTGAACACCACTGGGGGCAAAGAATGTAACATTTTTTATAGGATTTATACATACTAAGAAGGAAAGTCTGGTTTTGTATTTGTCAGGACATGTTGCCAAAGGCTGAAGCATTATTTCCTGGTAAGCAATTTCAAACAACCCCTGGTTTTTCAATCAGAATTAGTCTGACTAATCCATCCCTAGATATTAAGCATTTCATAAATTAGTTAAATATATATGCAGTATCCCAGGTGAATTTGATCTGCTGGAATGTTTAAGAATATAAAATAATTTCCATTTTATTGAAAAAGTGATAGACGGTATTTAAACTCAAAAAACCTACCAAAGTTTGAGAGATAATAGAAACAGACCTGAAAACTGTTTCACAAACCACAGATTAAACCTCTGGCCTTCAAATATTCCTTAGTAGCTCTTGGTGAGAAACTTATTCAGCTACTTTTGACCTAAGGAAACAGGCAGAATGTATACATCTTCATGTATGTTTCCAATCACTTTGCTATCTACCATAACTAGGAAGCAGAACTGTCCACAGCCCTCATGAGAAACGGTGAAAGAAAAGTTTATAAGACTGCTATAGACTTACCAACCAGCAACTAATACAGTTGCTGCTGGTTGCAGAAGCTCATGCTGTGAATAACAAATGCAAACGCAGGTACAGCTTTTTCCAGTGGGACATAAAATGAGGTTTCTTCTCCACTAGCACCAAATTAAGCCTCAGGCACTGGCCAAAACTGGAATAGGCTCCCTAAAGTCTTTTGTCTTGATATTTTTTTTCTGTAAGACACAGTTCAGGGTTGTACAGTCTCCCTGAGAGCTCTTGAAACCAGCAACTTCCCAACCAAAACTGCCTCCTTTCTGGGGTTCATGGGGACATTTGGCAAATAAAAAAAATTGAAAAGCAGGTGCTCTTCAGCCTTGTTTGTGAGCTAGGAAGGAACACAATCCTGGCTAAAGTTGTTGGAGACCCTACAGGCAATAATCCCGATCCATCTTCCCACCCCTTTGCTGGACTCTTGTGCATCAGTCGGGCAAGGCAAAAACAAGCACCCAATCCATCCAGGGCATTGTATAATTATTATTATAATAAAGTATTTTTTTAATCAACAGTCTCCATCAATTGGGCATCTAGTCAGATTTAAAAAAAAGAAAACAACAAAAATCCCTAAAGCATTTACTTCAGGCACTGTGTTTCGCATATTTGTTTTCCCACTTTGGTGATTTTCTTAAGTGTTGTTTCCATCTTGCTATATCTCAGAAAAATCTATCTGATCACACAACAATGTACAAAGTTGTTATACAAAAAGGTTTCTAAATACGTAACAAGCAACAAAAATTAAAATATGATCGACATCTTTTCAGCCTACTTTTATCTCAGCCATTTTTTGCACTCAGAAGTAAAAAAAAAAAAAAACAAACAAACAACCGCCAACCCACCCAAAACATTAAGCAAAGACAAGTTTTCAGTTAACTGTATCAATTCAAGTAATTAAATAACTGCTATACTTTTCATAACATCAGAAGCTGGAGTACTAAAAACCAAAACAAAAATCATGATGTACAACATCCAATTCATCCCTGGCATTATTCCACATAAATCAGTGGTATTACACCAGGGATTAATTTGGAACACTGATGTGAATTAAAGGACTGTATACAGCAACCTCATCATAACACAGACACACACACAAAAATAACTAAAACATTATGAGCATCACAAATGCACACAAATAATTATGCACCTACAAACCTATTTCTGAGCAAATGGAACAGACTATTTCATAGTCTTGATAATAACAATAAGGAATTTCTACTATTTAGAAAATAATTATGTCCATTTTTCCCAGAAAAATTATTTAACAATATAAAATACTTGATAATAAAATACTTAATAGAAGTCCATCCAGGAGAATGTGAAGCTCCTCTACAGGTCAGTTTTTACATATCTTATTGAAATATGGCCAGATATAAGTTATGCAATGACTCTTCAAAAACTGTTTTAATACCGTTTTCAAGATTGATCTGAGTAGTTCAGTCTGCTCAGCAAAGGGTGATAACCACCTCTATAATATACAGCAATACAAACTATGCAATTAGTTTCTCCTCCCAGTAGAAAACCATTCACAGTTCCCTCCCTTTTTAAGTACTGTCCCTGAGTCCAGTTTTGCACACAAGTTGCTTATGTTCAGCTGCCCTGTTACTGAAGTTAGTTAGAGGCTGCATCTCCCACCTCACCACAGAGGCAGGCAGATGCTCTGCCAATTCGTCCCTCCTGTGCTTAGGGAGCATGAGACCACACAGAGGCAGGAGAAGAAAGAAGTGAATGCACAACATCTCTCTCTTCCTCCGGCTCACTCGACTCAAGCAAATCTGTAATGTTTAAGGCTGTCTCTTTCTTTCAAAGACAAATCTCTGCCAGGGCTTGGTGTTCTCCATCCAGCTGTGGTTTCATTACCCGAGCCCTCCGCTCAGCCAGTGCCCTACATAGCACTACATACTTTGCCAGATTGAAACTCATTCGTCATCGCTCGGTTTTCCGATTTGCGAGTGACCCGAAACCTTCAAGGCTACCCGCAGCCAACTAGGGAAGTTGCTCAAGAGCTCTATACTGACTACGCAGTGGTTTATTTTCTCTTTTCCATTTTTCTACCACCTTGGAGCCTGACTCTTTCTTGCTCCTCGGGAAGTTGGCTGTGCCCTCGCTGTCCCTTCCCTCCCGGGGACCGTGCCCAGGAGCAGTGCGCTCACTTGAAGAAAACGCAGCAATAAAATATTAAAACCCTTCCCTGCTCGGGGCTCTGCCGCTGAGATCTCTGCGCCGCCTGGCTGGCAGGGAGCACCGCAACTCTCCGCGCCGGAGGAAAGCCGGAGCCGTGCCCGCACCGCACCCGCGCCCGACCAGCGGGGCAGGGACCCTCCGGGCGCCGCAGCCCCCGATCCCGACCCACCGCGACTTCCCCCGGGAGACCCCGACACGCAAGGGTCAGCTCTCCCCTCGGCACCAAAAGATAGCAGCAGCCCCGGCGCTTCATGGAGTGGGGGGAGCTGCTTTCCACGCCGCGCTCCGGACGGGGTATCAGGGAGCCCTACCCCCCCCCCAACGCACAAAATGGAATTTGAACTGTGGCGGTGACAGAAACGAGTGAGAGGGGAAAGGGGGCAGCCCACGTTTCTCTCCAGCTTCATGATGCTTTGGGACAGCAAGGGCTGGAGTATGGGGGTGCACCTGCACTTTTAACTTGACACCGTCATGCATGCCCCGGGAGTGGGGACGAGCGGGACGGCACGGGAGCGCGGGCAGCACTTACTGAAGAAGATGTACTCGGTGTAGCTGCTCCAGATCTTGTCGTCCCTGTACTGGTTGATGAAGGCGGCGGTGCCAGTGGAGTTGCAAGCCACCATGTGGAAGCCCGCCTCGGAGAGCCGGTCGAAGGCTTGCTCCAGGTAGGTGAATTTGAGGTAGAAGCGGGAGGTGTACTTCTCCGGGGGGCGGTCGGGATCGCGGCTCTCATTGAGGGTCTCTCCGAAGACCTCCTTGGCCAGGGCGATCCTACCGCACACCATGATGCGGGCGACGCGGCGGAACTTGGCGTCCGCCTGGTTGTCCCGCACCGTGGTGTAGGAGCCGCGGTAGCCCACGGTGAGGAAGCCCGAGCGCTTGTCCAGCGCCGCCCGCTGAAGTCGGTCGCTGCTGCCCTGCGAATTGCTATCCTCCAGGTCGCTCTGGCAGCCCTCGTCGTTGAGCGAGCTCTGCTTGGTGACCTTGGGCGACAGCAGCTTCACCAGGTCGCCCAGCTGGAAGTACTCGGCCTCCCGCAGGAGCCGCTCCTTCTCGGGGAAGTGCTCGGGCAGCGCCAGCTGCTTGTCCCGCAGGTAATCCAGCACGTATCTGAAGAGGAAGCCGTCGCGGTCGATGAAGAAGCGTGCCCGGCTGTCCCTGGGCAGCTGGCGGGCCGCCGCCGGGCCGCCCCGGCACGGGGAGAACATGGTGGCCAGCGTGCTGTCCGGGACGCTGAGCAGCGTGGAGTGCCTCGTCACGTACACCTGGCCTCCCACGTTCAGCTCCACCACCTCGGGGAACGGCGAGCCCGACGGCCCCGATACCATGTCGCTGATGGGCAGGATGCTGCCGCCCGCCTCCTTCAAAGCCATGGCTGCGAGCGGGCGGCCGCGAAGGAGGGTCTCCCTCCTAAAAAAGCCGGCCTCCCTCCACCCCTCCTTCCCCTCCCCTCTCCTCCCCTCTACCCACACCTCCCTTCCTCCTCCTCCTCCTCCTTCTCCTCTTTCTCCTCCTTCCCCCGCCGCCCGGCGCGCCCGGAAGCGCCTGGACGGAGCCGCTGCTCTGGCGCCCTCCGGCACGGCGGGCGGGCGGGCGGCATGACCCCTGGGACGGGCTGGGCTGGGCTGGCCCGACCCGACTCGAGCACCCCCCTGCCCCTGCCCGCTCCGCCCGGCGGGGACGCGGGGCCGCAGCCGCGCTGGGCTCGGGCCCGAGCGGCCGCCAGAGCCGGCTACCACTTGGCAAAGCGCTCCCGCGCTGCTGGGCTCGGCCCAGGGAAGAGCGAAGCCCCTACCCCAGCTCCTCCCCTCGCCTCGGCTGGCTGGCTTCGCTTTGAATTATTTACCCCCCCCCCCCTTAAAAATCTCTCAGCCTCCCCCAAATACCTGTGCCTCTCTTACACTGTTGCGCCGGTCAACACTCGCAGAGTGCTAGAATGGTGGTCGTCCTTCCAAAAGTAGCATCCAACAGGATGCATATGACAGCATTTTCCCCCATCTTGCGTCTATCAGCATGCCTTTACTGTGAGTGAAGGGAGCATTTAATTGAGGGCACAAAAGAAACCAGTGTTCAGCTGTGCTGGTGGCACAAATCTAATGGGCCCTGGTGGGACACAAATGCTGTATTTGATGTTGTGAAGCTTTGCTGTAGCACGGCACACTTCGTTTTCAGAGAAGCTTGACGTGCTCGCTAGCTTGACGGTGGAATTGGGGTGATTCAGAGCAGAAAAAAAGTCGGCTGCCATTAGGATCCAGATAACAGACACTGATTTTGAACATGCTAGTGTCTGGATTCTTGGCTGTGAAGCAACTAAATTTGTAGTAGTAGAGTTTTTTAATCTTATTTGTTTCTACCCAGAGCCACAGCTCACCTGCATCCAGATTTCTGATGCATGTATTTCAGGCTGTACTGCTGGAATATATTGGAATATTGGAGCCCAGACTTGTGCCTTGTTGGGTAAGAAATGTACAATTGCTCTTGCCAGTAAAATCTGAGGCCTAAATCTGACTATATTTCTCTGACTATCAGTGCTGCACCCAGTTATGCTGGGTGGTTCATGCATGGGAACACTTCAGCTTTGTTTTTTTTATAACCCTTTAAATGTTAAGGGTTCAACCGTTAATTGTGCCACATAGAGGCAGGAGCCCAACTTGTTCTTCATTTAAACAAGATTCACTTCAGACCTGGGGGTAAAAATTATCATTTTTAGGAAGTCTGTCACTTCCTCACTAGTGTGCTGTGATCAAGACAAATGGTCATCCAAAGCTTGGTCAGGCCTTTTAAACCACTAGTGTAGACTTCTGTGTTAGTAGTACTGCTTTAAAGCAGTAACATACACATCCACAGCACTTCATCCAACCTGTCTTTCAAGGTGGGACAAATCTGTCCATGGTGCTACTTTCCTCCCTCCATTTGCTATACACTAACACTAAATCTGTGTTGAGAGAGAACTCCTCTAGCTTTTACGTGGTTAGTGTTAAGGGAGGCACATCCATCACCCATTGGATCAGGAATGTGGCCAGACTGAGAAAAGACTCCTGGATAACTAGATGTGTTGTGCTTCAAACATAAGAATTATGTGGGAGTAAAAGGGCTTGTCACAAAGAACAAATGTGCAGGAAAGATTTCTGCAGTGCACTTCCTTGACAACTTACTGAAACCAATTGACAGTTTTGAAAAAGGAAATAGCTGTAAGAAACTAGGTAAAATTCTCTCTTTCCTTGTTTATTTTGCATGAAATGCAGAAAACTCAAAGGTCAGAAAGGTTGGAAAAAACATTCAAAGGTCAGAAAAACTGTTGGAACTGCTAAACAACAAGAAATCAGGGCATCATTGTTTATTGACCATTTTGTCGTGTGTTTCTTTCTTTAAGTTCAAATCCTTAAGACACAAGAGGAGACGGTTTTCATTGTCTTGTTCATTTCTGTAGGAGATATTATTTCTCCTGAGGACTCAGTAGAAAAGTTTCTGCTGATTTCTAAGAGAACAGATTTCATGCCCACCGTCTTCTGTGAAATATGGGATAATAGTTTGCCCATGTGTAAGACAACTCATGCCAGAGTGTTGCATGGCTGTGATGCTGCAGCATCACACTGATGAGCAGCACTGAGCTGCTCCCCTACCCTATGTGGTGTCATTAGCAAGGGGACAATTGCATTTTTTTCTCCCCTTCAGAAGCCCATGACCTAGGAGAACTGTATCTTAAACCTTCTCTTTGGTGACTTGTGTTTGTATGGATATGTAATCTAAGGATACATAGTTTGGCAAAACAGAATGAGATCATTTATCACATAGAATTGCCAGAGTTTGGCAGGTTGCATAGAAGTCATGCATAAAATAAATATTAATGTATTACTCAGGAAAAGAAGTTTTTTCTGAGGATTATCAGGTAAAGAAGGGAGAATCAATGCTACATTCTTCCTAGTCTCAATAGCAATTGCCTGAGGCACTTGAGAAATCCTTTTACCAAATGCTTGCAGACCCTTCTGTATTAAGCTCCTTTGTGTTGCCTATCATTTGGTCAACTCATGGTTTCCTCTGTGAATAAGTATATTCTAGGCCCGATAATGTCTGTCTTTGAGTTGATGAAAATAGCCCATAAAAATTCTAAAGGTAATTTTTCTTGAGAATGGGCACAGAGAACATATATGTGTTCCGTGGAGTAAGAAGCATCTACTTACAGGCTTACATTATGTGTAGGGCAGCAGCATCCTGGAGTGCTATTTGAGTGAAGTCTAAAGCTAGTACAATGAAAACAAGTAAATCTTTAGGTACATAACTAAATAGCCTTAAGCTTCAGATATGTCAGGGTTTCTCATGCTTAAAGTGGAGGGGAAAAAACATCCGCAGGTGAAAATCTGTCTTGATCTGTTCCCTTATCTGTGGGAGTGTTTTGAGATAGGGCTGAAGAATTCATGTTAGTAAGAATGTCTTTTGGAGGTTTCCTTAGGCAGACAAACAGTGCAAGCAGCAGGCAACAATAGCAACACCCCTTTTGGAAGCAGCCTGAAGGGACACAGGCAGGACAAGTTCCTCAAATAAAAAACTTCTTTTCACTGTAGTCTTTCCTGTCCTGGAGCCAGTCAGTGTGCTGGTTTGACCAAGCTATGTGATAAATCTAGACTTAAATGAGAGGATCATACTGAGAGAGGGGGAAATGACAGAAAGGAAAGTCAGAAAGATCATCCAGACTACATCATGTAGATCACCCAGGTCATTCTTATAAAAAATTCATGTAGATAAAAGTACACATTTACTGCTGCTCAGGCTGCCCAGTTCTGAAATGAAAATTAGGATATCAGGAATTAATACATTTACTTGACTTATTGCTCAGTCAGATTTTGAACTGGTTTACCTAGCTAAAGGTAACTTTTTTACATTTAAAAAAATGTTTCAGTATTCTCTTGTGAAATTGTATTTGGTAAAATCTGGTAAATAGAACATTTAATGTTTCTGAGAAGGAGAGAGGTGGAAGCAAGAGTTTTCTTCACAAGAGACTTGTTTTAAAGACACAATTCAGCATCATTAAAAAAAAATCATTCAGTAATACAATCCAAAGTGATTGGATAACATGAAATGAAGGATACATAACGACTTTTGAAATTATAATTGTTAAAAAACCTTATTTCTCTATGAAAATGAACAACCAAATGGAGGATAATGTGTAGGAGAAGAACAAATACTGATATTAGGCACTTAATTGGAGGTTCTTAGAGGGAGAATTATAAAAAATTCTGTAATCCCAGCAAGTGAATAAATTAGGTTAACTTTTTTAATAAGGAGTAAATTCTTCTGGTAGGCTCCCAGTGAAGCCAAGGGAACTTGGTCCTTTGTCCTGAGTTGCAGGATCAGGGAGGAAGAGTAGCTCATCATGCAGAAAAAGTTCCAGATTATTACTATGAGCAGGTCCACAATAATTACATAAATCACCTAGTAAGAATTTAAGATGATTATGTTGTCTTTCAAAAAGTCATCAGCCCAAAAACTGACATTAAAACTGTCTACGAGAGTGTGAGAAACTGCCAGGAGAATCACATTTCTAAGGCTGTACTCTGACTCAGTAAGCCCAGAAGTCTTGGCTGCTTTCACAATTCCTCCTCTCCATTTGGTTGTCATTTCTGTCATTTTCACAGTTATTAATATTTTCCTGTTAAGAATTCTTAGA